ACATTTATTGCATTGTCAGATTAGTCAGAATCAGTAGGTTTACTACAATTGTATATAAAAGTATGAACATATCAACAAATTTTTTGAAAAAATAATTAAGAAAGAAAATGTTTTAAAAATACAAAATTAAGCTGGTACATTGTATTTTAAAGAAAACAAAAGTCCTATGTCTGTATGCTTTATTTTTGTCTAGAAATCAAATTTCTCCAAAAGGGTACATGTAATACAGAGAAAAAAAGATAAGCGTATGATAAGATGATTAAAAAATTGTTTTACAGGATTTCTTTGGAAAAGGATGAGAATATAACTGTTGTTATCTTTTAGGGGGAAAAAGTGAAGACAACGAACGGTTATTATCAGAATGAATCAACAACAATACAAGACTTGAACCCAGGAAAACAAATCCGAGAAATTCTAGTCGTGGGTCCATGTGCCTAGATGGTGTATGATCACATTTTAACAGGTCATACCATTCGTGTGTAATTTGTCAAATTTAGTATAAAAACAAAGCAATTGGAATGAAACGAATAACCCAAAATCCGACCCTAAAGTTATATTTGCTAGCAAATTCATTAAGCTATTGTTAGATTTAATAGAATTTCGACATTAAGGACAGATGATACAAAAATAATATGAAATAATGTTTCGATTGCTACATGTACTTGTGTATATTTTTGCTATATTTGGTTGTAAATGATTGACTAATAAATTTCTACAATATTAAGAGTTTGTGAACTTTGATGTTAAAAATTCAACCTAACTGCACCCATCCTTATTAATATAAACATTTTTTGTCACTTAAATTTCCATTATTGAGAATTTTAGATAAAAACTTAAAATCTGAGTAGTTAAACTTATTAATTTTACTAATATAAATATTACCTAGTTTGTTAAATCCAGATTCTTTTTAATAAAAGTTTGTATCATCACTTCTTAAAAGAGATTTTCGAAATATCTGTAATATCTACTTAAATGATCGTACAGGTATTACTATTAAGATAAAATCGTATAATTCTTATAAAACAAAAACCTGGCGAATTTCATTTCCTGCGTTTAGTTTTATGTTTGCCTACAACCTTCAAAAGCTTTATTTATGATAAATTATAAAAAAAACTATCAACCACATACATGATTTAATAAACTATTGTTAAATTTATATGTTTATTTTGTTACTTTTAAAAAATTAAAACGTAGTAATATACAAACAAACATAATACTATGTTTATTTGCAATCCAAAAGAATACAACTAATTCTATCCTCATTAGTTGTCCCCCACATTGAATTTTGTTGATAAGATTGAATTTAAGACACTTTCTGGAACCTCAAACAATTAATAGTATTGCGACTAACTAGAAAGATAGACATCTAGGATTGTCTGAGTTTTTTGTTATTTTCTTCGTAATAAGCCTTGGTCAATGACAGTTCAACTCAAGGCTACAGAAAAAACAGAAAGGCTACATTTTGCCTGTCTCTTTCTTGTCGCCATTCTGACGAGGAAGTCATAGGAAAAAGAACCTCATTAATCAGGGGATAACAAACCTTAAAACCAAAAAATGTTGACAGAGGGGAGAAAAATTCCGGTTTATTTGACATCATTGGTGTTTATTATGTAAAGAATTTGATCTTTGATGACATCATAGTTTCCGGTATAATAGAACTTTTACTTTGCGGATTCATATGAATCAAGTGGTGCCATTTCAAGATTGGATTTTTTCGCCGGAGATTGTGAAAAACTTGTAAGATTTCAGTAATACAATTAAGAGTATTTTAATTGTATTTTGTGCACTTGTTGTTTTCATATATAAAGACAACTTAATGCTGTTGTTTTCTTGTCAGTCAGACAAGGGATAGGACGTTGCTGCTCTGAAGGATCAACGCTTAGGTAGGTGTTACAACCTTAATCAAGATATTCATAACTGTTTTGTTGGCCAACAAAGATTGCTATGATAATTCTAAATTGGGTTATTTTGCAATTCTAAAACCGTCTAAATTAGAGGAGAGAAAACATTAGCTAAGGAAACGAATTAAAATATGCATTTAAACTTTAACTGTTAACTCAGGGTTCAATATAGACATTAAATATTTCAAAACTATTTTAAATTTTGTCTCCGTTTTCAATCTAAAGTTATAAACTGTATTTCTGTTAGCTTGTCAAAATTTAAATAGATCGAACAAATCTAATTTCAGTTAAAAAAAGGGAACTTAAAAATTGATTTAATGATTAATTGAATGTTTTTTTTTCGTCCCAAATGAGAATTTTTCACTCAGAAAGAGACTTCACTTTAAAACGGTGAAGGACCTTAAATTTAGAACAACATGCATACTAGGTACTAAGGTTGATTTAGCAGTAAGGTTTTTTATCGCGTCAACGCCTGCCTTGACATACCTCGGACTTAAGGTTTCGCCTAAAGGACTAGTAACTTCCCTCTTGGCCAAGGAACAGTTAATTCCAAACGCTTTACTTTGAGACGGCACGACAAAGGAAAATCACCTCGACTTCTCGATCAGAAACCAGACACCCTACAGTAGGCTACCGTGAAAGTTACTTAGAAATTGAAAAGTTGTTCGATGAAATGATTATATATAAGTGCATGCATATTTACATTTTTTTTTTACATTGATTTAATTAGGTCAAACGGGAGTGAATAATTTGCATCGGGATCGAATACTGCGTTGTTACAACGCACTTTGAAAAATTACGCACTTTGTAAAATTTTTCAAAGTGTGTTAAATTGTATCAGAAAGTGCGAGACTAGCCCAATGACCATAAACTGAGAATAAACTTAAGTCAAAATTTCAAATTGATATAACTTTTGAAATAATTTTGTATTAAATAAAAATTATCTTCATATGTTTGAATTGAAGTGTTTTTCACAATTAAGTTTATAAATTGGATAAAACTAAAGATATCAAAAAACAAAATTTTGACTTAAGTCTGTTCTCAGTTTATGGTCTTGGGACCAAGTTAACGTACTTTGAAAAAATAATTTTTATTTTCGAAGTGCGTTAATATCGACCATATCAACGCACTTTGAAAAAATGTGCACGACTTAAAGTAGGCAATGTTTTAGCAAATTTTAGATATGATAACAAAATTAGATGTATTTGAACCTTATTGAATAACTTTTTTATTGATGACATCACTTCAGGATCTGGGATATAGACATTTTACATCTCAGTTTGTATCCTGATTAAAAATAATTTTCCAACACAACATAACGGTCTTTTCATAATCATTTGATAATTTAAGTTTTAAGAAATATTATTTTTTTTCTCTAATTTCTATGCAAGATGATGGACTTTATTTTACAGTTATTTAAATAGATTAATCTTCAGCTGTATAAAAAGAAAAATATTTATGCATTTTATATTGATATTTTTTTATTTGTATTAGAATATGTAATTATTTTAGCCATGTTTAGCCAATTGCCTATTGTTGATTAGATCAGCGATATAGCTCCTGGGCCTTTCTTCTATAGAACAAGAGCTTGGTGTGCTACATGTATTACCGGTATTATTTTTTTAAACGAAATCTTATTAATTTTTTTCATTACTTTATACTTTAACTTAAATTTATGGAGAGAATTATAAATACATATATTTGGTTAGGAAAGATAAAAAAAATGGTAGAGGGTCCTTCTGCCTTCGTTCCTTCTACACGATGAGGATTGATCAATTCATCTGGTTTTTGAAAGAAATATTTATAGCAAAAATTTGTCTATTACCATTATCTAAGTCTGGAATTTTTTTTTAAATACTGGTATAAATTTCCAAAGAGCGCTAAGTGCCTCCATGATTAAAATGTTGATGTACACTTTTTAAACACTTTAAAAATTTTTTGCAAAGTGCCTTAATTTTGTCCCAATTTGACGCACGTTGAAAATACTTTTCAAAATGCGTAAATTTTGTCCCAGTTTTAACGCACTTTGATTGATTGTATATTGTTTAACGTCCCTCTCGAGAATTTTTCACGCATATGGATACGTCACCGTATGCCTGTGAAGGGCTTCAAATTTTAACCTTTACTCGGCACTCAGGGCCATTGAGCAGAGTGGGATCTTTATCGTGCCAACGCCTGCCGCTGACAAGGGGCCTCGGTTTTTAAGGTCTCATCCGAAGGACCCGCAACTTTCACTTCAAAGTGCCGAGTGCATGGCGAAGGAACAGTTGCTACCTATTTTATCGACTGGGTCAGTCGCGGCCGAGATACGAACTCACGACCTCCCGATCACGGAGCGAGCGCTCTACCGACTGAGCTACCGTGAACGGTTCTAACACACTTTGAAAAAAAAAATCAAAATGTGTTATGTTTCACACTGCATATATCTCTAATTTTATAATTCCTCCCATTTTCTGTGATAATTTTCCTCATATTATTTACCATTATTTTATCCATTCTTTAAACATTCTTTTTAATTTTGAAAGAGCAGCTCGATGAAATGAATTTTGATCGTAGAGTCTGAACCATGTGTTTCATATATGGATATTGTACGTTAATGGTAATCTAACAACCGAGCTCCATGATAAACGCGATGACTTTAACTTTCTATCGTCAACTTCCCTTACCTATGCTACTAATGCAGCAATATACCTTCATCACTTGCATACTGGGTTTATATATCTCAGTTGATTTGATACACAAAAGCATGCTCTACGTGAACAATTTCTAAATCTAGGTATAAATTTTATGACAAACAAGGTGCTTAAGCAAGAATATCAGCAGTCTCGTTTAAAGTCACCATATCGTAAGTTCTATGGTCGAAACAATCACCGTGTCAGCCATACAGAATACATGTTTACATAAAGTATAATTTTTTTTGGCAATAAGATAATATACTGATTATTTGTATTTGAATTTTTTTTATTTGATTTTTTTTTTATCTGTCTAGCTTTCTTTTTCTCTTCAATTTTTGAAATTGAATTGTGTAAAAAAAAATGCATAGTGAAACTTTTTTTTCAAATTATCTAAAATATTTTTGCCATTGTTCAGATTATATTCTGTAGGTCTCCACCTCAAGCTCCACATATTCCTGGATCCGCCCTAGAGAATGCCTGAAGGCCACCTGTGGTCCACTGTATTGCTTTCCTTTCTGTACGTTCTGGGTCCTGTGCTAAGCCAGTATGACAAAGTATGTACATATGAAACCTATCGCAGAGGTGTCCACCCACAAGGCGCATGCGGAGACAAACTAGCCGACATTCTCAAACTTGTTTGCAGAAATAATACTTCCCGGGAAAGAAAAGACAAAATTGTTCGAAGAAGTACGTAAAAGACATTGGTTTTTCTTTTTCTAGAAATAAAGCTTACAATTTCTTTTCATGAAAAATGTTCAATATCATTTACCCAAAACATGCATTAGTAGTATTCGGGTCAATCTTCATAATTGAGATCATTTAACGTTTTGTTTTATTACAGATATGATAAAACAAAATTTTACGACATCCGAAAACGTGTTCCCATTAGAAGGATTACGTCATCTTGGTATGATTAAACCCAATCATCCATCTTTAAGTTCAAGACGTTCACCTTGGAAGTCATTCATCAGAAAGTTTTTATCGAACAAAGAGAAAGCACTCGCATTTCTCTCGGGCGACTTGGATGCAACACACGTCCTGAAAAGGGCAAAACATTTTCCTTTTATGAAGCGAAATGGAGACACAAATATCGTATGCGAATGCTGCTATCATTTATTTTTTAATGATATCAAACCCAGATATTTTGCACAAAAACTCAAATATCTATTTTTATCCTCTTGACAGAAAAGAAAATACATGCTGGGCCAAGAGAAACTAATTGATTTGGATTATGTACAAATCAAAGGTTTACTGGTACATCAATGTAATTTAGGAAAACTGTAGAGTATTAATGAATTTTGGTTCTGTAAAAGTTTTTGAGAACATTATACGTTTTCAAGAGATTTCGGCAATTTTTCATGATACTGTAGACGTACTTTTTTCCACGGGGTCATAATTCTGCGG